GTTTTGCAACGTGTCAGCTTAGCTATACGATGCTCTGATGCAGCTAGGGCCATGCACGTGCCCTTGCAGTGATGCTTGCTGGTGGTGGTGTGCAGACAGGATTCTCACTTTGGTGCAATCTACGAGGTCTCTCTGCAAGTGCATGCGTCAGCACATTAACGCCTTATGTTTCAGAGCGTGCCATGTGCTGTATTTACCAGCAGGGTAAAGCCTTGCCACCATCTCCCAGGTCAACAGCAATGTCTTATCACACTTCTCCTAGAACGAGTGCATCCGTGATATGTAGCAAGGCAGCGCCGTGCAAAATCACCCAGAATAATACGCTCAGCAGGTTATGCCGTGATGGATTGTCTCAGAGTTAGCCCAGAAGGGCAAGGCATGCAAATAACATTGTTAATGTAGTGCTGGTGTTGGGATTGCCAAGTGGCAAATTGCACTGGGAGTCAGGGAGCTGGTGCCAGCGGGCAGCGTGCTCTCCTTCCAGCCTGACAGCAGCACTGGGGAATCCGGTGCTGTTCCTGCACCTCCTGGTCTCCCATCCCTCCTCCTGCAAGGTACGGGGATTATTTGTCAGTCGGCATGGTCGATTCCCTTCTGCTGCATCCCTCACAACCAGTGGTGATGAGCAGAGTGAGAGATGCTAAAAATACCCACATTATGTAACGGCACTGCAGAAACGGCCTCATTCCCCGCAGCCAGCTCAGCCCCGGTGAAGACACCCAAAGCCACCCCCACCCTGGGAAGCTCGTCTGTTACAGCTCATTAGCAAAAAGTTTAGACTGTGCAGGCTGAAAGGAACAGTCGCGCTTGATGACGTTCAGAAACCAGCAAGTTGCTGAGGACAGGGCGGGTTCTGTGGTCTCCAGAAAGGTTTTGAAGGAAGTTCACAGGGAGCTGGACTCTCCAGAATACTCAAATTCTCATCAGACCCACTCCCGGGGCCAAGGAACAAACAGTGATGACAACAAAATGTGAACCCGAAGGACATCAAGTGGTTGATTTTTCACCTCCCTGTGGTCCTGGCAGCAAAAGTTATGCATAAGGAAGAATAATGTTGTCTGGGGACTTGATGGATGCTTGCTGGCCATGACCCACAGCATGTTTATACTGCATCAATCTGCAATATAAACATGATGCGTTTATATTTTTATTATATTTAGATGTGTTTATAATCAAGTCTGCAATTTCTGCTGGTCCCCAGCAGAACTCAAGTAGTTGCTTCCTTCCACATGATGCTTCAGATGCCTTCTGGGCCTGGGTCAAATCTAAGAGAAAAGCTGGGGCACAGTGTGCTGGGGCTCTTTGTTTTAAGTCTCCTGGATGCCTTGGCACACAGTCAAGTTAAGCTGATCAGCAAAGTGATTCCAAGAAGAAATTTCCTCTGGAGCCACCTGGCAGGGCTTGTGCTCACCCAAGACCCTGGCATAGCCCTCATTCCTCCTCTGCTTTTTCTGCGGCACATCACAGATGTGACGTTTGGTCTCTGCTGAAAGATCAGGGCTCATTAAAAGGTGAGTGGGTTTTTTTGTTTTGGGGTTTTTTGTTCATTTATGCAGTGCTTTGGTGCACAGAACTGAGATTTCGAGGAGTTTTCTGGCTTGGATAGTTCTTGTGAATGCCTTCGAGAGCTGGCACTGGCCTTTACAAACCGATACCTGCCTCCACCCACTGCACACACTGCAGGCTGTAGCTCCGAAATGGAGCAGAGAAGCCCAGGACAGAGCTAGCAGCTGCCTGTTCAGCTTGGAAACTGCTGATTTTCAGACTGGCCGGGCAGGCAGAAGGAAGAGCAACCAGGTTTGGAGACCTGTGATGGCCAATGCTGGGTACAGCACAAAGCCATCCCACGGCCACACCGGGAGAGATTCACTGAGACCACGCAGCAGCCTCAAGGGAGAGGAAACTCAGCAAGGACTGAAAGCCACAATAATTAATGCCAAGAGAATCAGGGTGCTTCACATTCAGATGTGGAGAATCTCTAAGTGTCCAAGCTAGAAGTGGAGCTTTCAGGGGGACGTTCCCTGCAGCTGGGCAGAGGTGGACTTTCTGCTCAGCTCCCAGCACTCACAAAGCGTGCAGGAACCTAATGAACCCGGATGGAATTAGTTAAAAAAATTAGCAGGGCAGGGGACAGATGGCGTGACTGGCTGAGCACAGCTGGGTAACAACATCTCGTGCTGTCTCTTCCATTTGAACAGCGATATGAAAAGTCAGCATAAGGAATCCGCTGTGGCCACAAGGACATCGGGGAAGCAGCGTCCTTGGGGCATATAGGCATCTAGGGTCCAAAAACTTTTAAGAGCCTTGCTGTACTTCCTGGCCTATTTGACAAGTGGTATTTGTCCCGTAATCAGGCTGTCAGGCTGACCCTGGGGAGCGCTGCGTGTAACCGGGGGTTCTGGCAGAACCCAGGAGCTGGGATGCGGACACAAGCTCCAGGTCTGAGCAGCACAGGCAGGAGACTTTGCACACCCATGGCTCCTGTCTCCTGGGGCAGGACGCGTTCTCAGTTCAGAGGAGGCTGCTGAAGCCCCAAACCCACGTATCCTGCATCTGCGCTCCCCCTAGTCCACCAGCCTCTTCTGAACAAGAATAACAACCTCAATTATGGACTAACTCCAGCTCACTTGCGCCTGTGTGTGTTGGGTGTCTTGCCTGACGGTCTGGGCAGATGGGGCAATCCACTGCCTTGTTTCAGGACCTTATTTCTCTATAGGCTGGCAGGACAATCTGTACTAAGAGAGCAGACACTACGTGACCTGAAAGCACAACCAGCCTGCAGGGCAGAATATTCATGCTTGAACTGCATCCCCTTCTAAAACAAGGAGCAAATATAGGTATTAAACCTGACTTCACAGAACAAAGCCTAAGCTGAACACTGAGTACATCTGGCATCCCCAGGATGAAAAACGTGACTACAAAACACTGTTCAGCACTGTGTGTTAGATCCACTCTCAAAATGTGTCTCTTTGACATCACTACTGTGTTGTGTGTCAAGTCTTGAATGAACCAGCATCCTAAATTAAATTCAGTGGGTTTCCAGAGGCTACCTGACTTCAACAGAAACACGGGGTACCAAAATACAGGTGTTCTGTGCGATTGCAGAAGCCTCAGGATACATTTCCAAGGGATCTATAGGTGATGCAAAGGCAGCTGGGACACTTCAGGTCACATCAAACAATATTCAAGCTGTGTGTTCAGGCACCTAGTTCCTTCCCTGCTTATCTGAAGTGGGCAATGGGCTCTGCAGGGATCATCTTTCTAAGATGCACATTTCCAGGCATCGTTGCATGGTCAAGGCAAACTTTAATATATTGAGATATGACTGGGAACATCCCAGCTCCACAGCATTTTCCATGAAGCTTTGCACGTTCCCCAATTACCCCACCATGACTCAAACTGTGTGCTTCGTTAACCTTTCAGAGATGGGATTCACGCAGGCGTGCACAAGCCAGCACAGTGCTGCACAGAGTGGTGCACATCAGCAACAGCTTTCAACATGCCACGTCTGAGGTATCTGTGACGCTGTGAGTAGGTACAAAAATTTCGAAGTCAAATTGAAAGACTCTCCCCAGGAGACCGAATCACCTCGTCAGCTGGCACCCAGCCCCAGCACGGTGGGTGGGTGTCCCCGGGACACATTTTGCAGAAATGACCACTTTTTAAAGTGATTTGTGCTGCGTGCTAATGAGCTTTCCCTCTTCCCTCGAGCCTTGGAGATGAGCAGCTCACTCAGCCAGTAGGCAGGAGACCGGCCGGCTGCAGCTCCCACGGAGGGGACACAATTATTATTGAAAACCCTGACAGCACGGGCAGCAGTCGGTGACAGCTAGCCTCTCACAAATTTCTTGACACATCCATTTCCAGCATTTCCCCTCTCTGCTACAAGAGGGTCTCGCATCCTCCGCAGTGAGACCCAGCTGACCCCCTCTCCCCACGTCCTTTGACAGCGTGCACGCACCAGAGCTCTCCGCAGCACTTATTTTTTGCTCTGGCATTAAACCAAGAAAACACATAAAACATATCCTGGATTTCTCCAAAAATGTCGCAATTTTCTTATTGAGCTGAAGCGGGGTTTTTGTTTGTTTAATTTCATTTAGAGAAAAATTATTTTTTATTTTACTCTGAAAGAAATAAAATATAAACCACCTTTCGGAACATTAATATGAAAAGAAAAGTGGGATTCTTTTCTTTAAAAAGTCTCAAAATCAAACATTTCAGCTTTTCCCTAAACAGTTTCACTTCTAAATTTACCTTGGATATTTGAATAATTTTACTCAGTCTGAAACGCTGTTTTTCAAGGAATAAGCCATTTTCTAGCAGCATGTCACCCAGCTCCTTTTATGAGCAAGAGAATTCAGTCCTTGCCAGGGCCTGTGCAAACAGTTCCTGCCCTCATAAAATTACAGTCAAAATCAATTATGGTTGCAACCTGTTCAGCCCTTCCCATAGTTTTATTTTCTGTCTGACAGGGTAAAATCCTACTCATGCAGTATTTTGCAATAATTTTCTCTCTAAAAACCATTTGCCACTGACATTGAGATACCCGATTTCCAGATCCATTTTCCTCCCACCAGCTTTTCTCCTTTCATTTCTTTCTTCTTTATTTTTTTTTCTTGGCTACTATGCAATTTTTTTGTGCTGGAAAAAAAATAAAATAAAAAAGAAATCTCTTTAACCACTTTGCCTTCTTCCAAATATTTTCTAACTCCTGAGCATTGTTGACAGCAGCCTTTCCCTCTCTGCTCTCACTGCTGGCCCCGGGATGAAGGAATGCCAGTGGGTTTCTGTCCATCCTCCAGGATTTTTCCTTTGGGCCAGCTCCTTTTGAGCCATTTCGGCTGCACTCGGCCATCCACAGCTTCTGACTCTCGGAGATATTTACGCACACCATGGGGAGCGAGCCTGCTCCCTTTATTTGCTCCATAAAGAGCTCCCATCCGCACTGACGACTTTTCCATAAAACCCTGCCCACTTTATTTCCAGCCCCTTCATGAACCTGCCCAACCCCTCGCTGCAGAGGGTGCGCCCCTGTCCCTGCCAGCACCATTTGATGCATCCTCGCTCTCCCCAACCCAGCTGCCTGCTTGCTCAGGGAAGGGACCCCAGCAGATGGAGACCCCAAGTGTGTTAGGATCCCCTCGACTATTTTTTCCTGCTCGCCTAGACATGAAGTTTTGCTGGGGGAGCTCACTCCTAAGCCAAATCTTTTTTTAGGTCAGTGATGCTAATGACGGCACTTTTATTTCCAAGCCTTTTTGCTAGGCGCAGGCACTTTCCCTTTTCTCTCCAGCCATTTTTAAGGAAGTTAATGAGTAGCAGAAGCCCTTGCTGGTTGGTTTTGTTTTTTCTTTTTTTTTTTTTTTTTTTTTTTTACTATCATGTATAATAAATGTGCTTTTGATTAAATTTTTACATGTTGCTTAATGCATCAAACAGGCATATGATATTCCGCTGGCAACACAACACAAACCCCTCCTCAGTGCAACATTCATTTCCCAAACTGTTTCTGAAGCAAGTGTCACTTCCACATTAAGAAAAGACGATTGTGACAGTTTCCTGGGGGATGCTAAGACAACATCTGCTGTAAGGTTTTCAATCAACATGCCTTAATTTTCACAACTCCAGTGCAAACATATTTATAGTAAATAACCCATCTCGGATGGAGTGAAACCAGGTAACCTTTTCAATCTGTGCAAACATACATTTGTTTCTGGCAGAAACTTGGATGCTATTCGTTCTTAGCACTGCATAACTAAGTAAAACTGAGGATCTGCTTGAACCAGCTTCATCCAAACTCAAGTCTCATTCAAGTGCATCTCAACGTTGGCCAGGAGACAGAGTTCTGGGGAGTGTGGGCATCTTTCCAAGAGGCCACACACATTCTGTGGAGCCCCTGGGGTACTCGTGGCCACCAGCCTGAGGCAGAGGGACCCCTCTCTGCTCAGCCTGGGGACACAAAAACGTCCTGTGCTGCCGCCCTTGCTCCAGGCTCACCCACTCCTGGGCCACCTCGTGGCTTCTTCTTCAGCAGCTGCTGCCTCCTTGCCACAATCTCCCCGAGGAACAGGGGATGCCAGGGATGAAGATAGGTCCCCGCAGGCTCCTGCTGCCTGCGGAAGCCAAGGGGCAGAGGAGGTGTTGCCGTAAGCCCATGGGGCCACAGGATGCTTTTGGCTGTGAGTCCCTACCACAGAGGTCAGAGTCCAGCACCAATTCTCACCCCCATGCAGCCTCCCCAGATGCCAACCGAAGAAGACACCAGCCTGGGCAACCAGCCTCACCACCAGGCCAGTGCTCACAGTTCCTTCCAAATCCCCAAAAAATGGTACTGTTGTTCTGGTGAACTCGTCACTGCCTGAGCATGGCAATTACAAGGCATCAGGTGAAGAGAATCAGGAAGAAACGCAATATTTTTTGAGAGGGTATCAGCTGTTTTTTGAGGTATCCAGATTTCAAGGATTTTCTCCTCCTCTGTGCAAGATAGAAGTCTTCTGGTTGTGACTGCCAGAGGGATTTCTTGGGCTCTGTAAGCAGCTGGTGAGTGCAGTTGAGGCTCCTTGGGAGTAAAAAAAAAAACTGTGGGGCTGTTGTAGCAAGCCTGGCAGGGGTGTCAGCTGGAGGAAGGCACTTTATAGTGCCCCTCACACACATAGGAGGTTGGAAGCCACCTGCTACAACCACCTGGAAAGGAGTTAACTGCCTCTGGTTTTCATCGAGGAAACACCTGAAAGCTGAGAACAAAAAAAAAAAATGTTTGAAGTGGCTCTTCAAAAAAAACTCTTTTTTGATGCAGAACACCTACCTTTTCATGTGACAAAAGAGATGGGAAAGAACTAGAGGAAGAAAGACGCTGCATCGTTGGAGTTTTACTGCAGACAGCACCCACTGCTCTCCTGGCTGTTTCTGCAGAGCAGGTGCAGGCTTCTCCCCGGAGGCCACGCACCCTGAAGGGTTTATCACCCTTCCCCAAGTAGGAGTTATCCCTGTCCCAGCAACCCCAAACCGTGAGGTACCTCTGAGACATAGCAGTGTTTTATGGATTAAAGTCGGGTAGCCGAAAGAAACAAAGCCACAGAGGTTACTGCAAGCGCTTTCATTGCAAGCAGGGGAGGAATTTCCATCGACGAAATCACTTGCACGTCTTTTATTTCGTTTATTTATTTATTTATTTATTTTATTACAGAACTTTGTGATCAATCCGGATAATTCCCCTTGGCAATAAACACAAAGGCAGTAAATTACACGTCGTTAACTAGCCGCGGCGCGCTGTTCTGTGTCGATGGGATGCAGCCCACCCTGCGCAGCAGGCGCAGCGCCAAGCCATGGGATGGGGGCTTGTGGAGGAAGGGGGGTGCTCAGCGGTGCGACGTGCCCTAACACCCGCTGCAGGCAGATGCCTGGATCAGAAGCCTGTACGCGGGATTTCTGGGAGCCCTGCAAAGCAGAGCATTGCCTCATCGATGCCGAAGCAGCCCTAAGCAGCTCTGGGGCTGCACCAGCTAACCTGGAACCGACCCATGCAGCGTGCGTGTGCAGGCAGGCCCGCTGGAGAGGGCAGCTTGGGAAAAGAGTGGGAAGGAAGAAAAGAGCCCACAGACTGGCATGTGTGCCCAAAGGCTCCTTCCCACCCAACCTGACCTCACTGCCTGAATCCATTCCCTGGCACTCGGTCTTTGCTGAGTTTCACCCCATTATTCCTGCTGGTACCATGTCATATGGCATTAAACCTCCTGCCTTGTCTCAGAGCAGCACTTGAGGTCCTAGGAAGAAGCTCCCTGCCACCTTTCACCCTTCACTGGCTGAGCTGTGTGCAGGCAATACTAATCCCAATTTCTCCCCGAGGTTGCACCAGCCCCAGCCCAGGTGTCCCCCAGGTGCAGGGGACATCTCCCTCCTGCTCCATCCGCACGTCCCGTGACGCACCAGCCGGCTGCCTGGGAAGTTCGATGCGTTTGCACTCAACCTTGGACTGAATCACCAACACACAGAGAGCTTTGCATGCGTCTCATTTAGCAGATGCTTCTTCTCCTGTCTGCCAGCACTGGTTTTCTGCCAAAAGACAGACTCTTCTTCGTCTGGGAGGAAAAACTGATCTGAAGGCAGCTTAAGAGGGAGCAGCTCTTGCTCTGCCATCCACGGGCCTGGCCCTTTTTTATTTTCTTGTGGAGATCCCGCTGCCAGAGCAGGGTTAGCTCCTTCACCTGATTTCATGGATTGGCCTGCATCGCTCCGGATGCGGGGGGGTGAGAGGTGATGTCCCACGTCCTCCTCCAGGTCTGACACCCTGGAGGATGACCCCCCAGTTCCACACGGTGCTTGCGGGCAGCAGGGCCTGGCGGAGGCAGCTGGGTGTCCCATGGATGGACTGAAATAGCAAAATCCAAAGATGGACTGAAATAGCAGTTCTCGGGACTGTGTGGTGAGGCATCAGTGCTTCAGCAGCCGTGCCCAGTGCCCTCAGTGCCCTCCTGCCCCGGCTGGGCCTTGCAGCTCCCCACAGCCCTGCTCTTCGCCAGCAGCTTTCTCCCAGCCACACAGCGCCGCAAAGCCTGGAGGTTCCCAGCACTGGAGGGGAAGCAATCTGATCCGAGTCACATTTCAAAACAGTTTTTATTTCCCTAGAGAGGCTGCAGCGGTAGTTCTGAAGGGAGAACAGTTAATGCTCCATTTAGCTCCACAAGACCTCGTTTGCCACCACTTATCCAACAAGGGGGAAGCAAGCAAAGAGAAATCCTTGCACATGGACTTTGAGCTCTGTTAAATTCCTGGGGGCACGAAGCAAAGGCCTCCTTCTGCAGTAGTGCTTGGGCAGTGGAGACACAAACCAGTGGTCCGTCCGGCAGACGCAGTGAAATCCTGCTCCAGGCCTCTCCAAAGATAGGCTCAGGTGCTGCAATCCTCCAGCAAGACCATGGCTATTGGCACCCTCCCTTGGGCCTTCTTCTGTGGTTGCTTTCTGCAGGGAACTTGGAGAGCTGTACCCAGCTCGAGTGTTACTGTGCATGGCTCTGTGCTGATCTGATCTGATGGGGAATGGCCTTTTTTTTCTAACCCCAAACCTTTAAATATATAATGTTGCTGTGCTATGCTGTGGCCTGTGCTTGCTGCCTGCTCCTTCTCCCACTCTCCTAATATATGTGCTCCCGAAACTGGTTTGGGGACAGGCCTTTTCTATGATCGAGGAGTCAAACATTTACTGTGGGAGGATTTTCTGAACAGAACCTCGCCTCCTAAATCTCAGGTGTTCGGGTGACGTTTATGCCCGTTGTGTTTTGTTTGCTGGTTTGGGCATCTTCGCACACCATCTGTCCTCTTGCTGAGACCACAGGAAGATAAACGCCCATATGACAAGCACTCCCTTAGTGCCATCTTCCTGTTGCTGGGTGAAGGCTCTCTGCTAACAAGTTTCATGTGCTGTGGTCTTGACGCAAGCCGCAGGCTCTGCAGTGCCTGCTGGTTCAGCTGTCAGTCCTGTCCTCAGTTATCACCACGGTTCACTCTCCTAATCCCTTTCCTCGTGCTGCTTCTGGTGCTTTCATACACCTGCATTTCCATTTCCATTTCATAATGCTCTTAATGGCTCTGTTACAAATCTCTTCTGAACTTCCTTTCCTCTCCCAAGCTTAATTTTTCTCCTAACTACGTGTATATTTTCATTTAAAGTTAGAGAAGTGTATTATTGCGGTGGGAGTTTGTACTATCCAATTTCCCTTTCCAAAGGGCCTATGTCCAACATACTATTACTCTAACATGCAACATTCATTTTTTATTTTTTTTTTATTTAAGCAAACAAGGATAAATGTTTGCTGGTAAACATTTCAGGGAAGCGTGCCAATTTACATATCCTCCTATTCCTTACAGAAATGTAAAACATCAGCATGCTGCCAACCACAAAGATTGTGATGTTTTTCCTCTCATACATAAAAATGTCTTACTAATTAATCATCCTCTCGCCGTAGCCAAAAATGTGGCAACTCTGCCATATGCTAATGCACGCCAGGACTTCATGCGTTCTGAAATATTTAGTACTGATCAGACATAGAGGATATCATTCCCTCTCTACATAAGCAAGTATTCAACACTGCCTCAAAATGACAGCCATCCTCTATGGCTTGTTTTCATCTTCTCTGTCCACCTATTCAGATTGTACATTACCTTGGCAGGGCACTCACCAAACTCACTGCCCTCACCTTGCCTGGGATACCTGAATGCCTGAATTTAGTATGAATTAGCAACAAACCTGGTTGCTAATAGCAGAAAATCTCAGGTGAACTGCCGTGAGTGACAGAAATGTATGTCACGAAAACAGTGGGTGTACCTGATGATTGCTGCTGCTTCCAAATTTCCACAGCACACGAGGGTTGGTAGGGGACAGGTTAGAAACAACCTTCTAGGGGAAATAAAGATAGGTGAGACTTGCCAGCATTGTTTTGTTTGGTTGTTTTTTTGCTTGTTTTAACACCACAGAAGCAAATTTGGTGTGTCCAGAATACATCACAGATTCCCGCTGACCTCACCAAATGGCTTATGTCTCCTCATCCCTGGGAGATGAGGGCTGATAGAGGAGGGAGAGCATCAGCAGAAATCCAGCATGGCACTTTCTTGCTCTGAGGCTGCAGTTTCTGAATCTAAGAGGTGAGGATATCCTGCAGCTGTAGGATTTAAAATAATGTGAATATCAGTGCACTTAGGAAGCAGCTGGGGGTGAGGTCCCTGTCACCCTTAGCAGGGCCACTCTTACTGTGCCAGTATCGCTGAGAACTTCCCAAAAGTCAAACCATGGGGACGGGGTTACCCTGTGATATTGAATGCAGGCTTACAAGTGTAAGAAGCTGAGATCCAGCAGAGTCAATGTTGCCAACAGCAGCCTGTGTCACCCCAAAATCTATCTCAGATGCACCCCACGCACCACCAGGAAGAGCAGTGAGCCTCCGTGGTGGATGCTGCAGGAGCTGTATCAGGCATCTGGCACAACCACACGAAGCACTTTGCCAAAGGACCCACATCCAGGAGCATTTTGAGTCTCTTACTGATTGAGAGGCCCAGGGGAAGCTGGGGTGAGGTGCCGTGATCCTCGCCCACAGTGCGCTCGACTCCACGTAGCTGCGCCTGTCTCCAGTTGCAGCTCCCACTTGTTGCTCACACAGGAACGTGCCTAGAGATCGCATCCCACTCTAGCAACCTGATGTAAATCATGCAGGAACCCGTAATTGTGAATATGACATTTAATAAGCAGTGCAGATTGTACGTACCACCTGAGGTTTGGAGCCTGGCTGGTGCTATTTGTGAATAAATGCCTTAAAGTGCTTTCTTCTTAATTACATTCATAAAGAACAGAGGTATATCAGTCACTGGCCTTCCATTACAGCTATAAAGAGCATCACAATCAAATCATTAATACACATAAAAATGGCAAGTAATTAATTTTAATGTTAGTATAAATACTATCATGTGACTTTATTACCAGCCCGACCTTCAAGAGGGGACATCAATAGTATTAATTTAATAATGTCTTCCAAATCAGTTATTACCAGTAGGTAGGAGATGTTTTTCAAGAGCTAAACACTGAGACCATTAGGGTCTGTGTGCACCTCTAAGAGCTGTCCATCCCCTGGGCCATCCCTTCCGAAAGGCAAAATTGGCCCAATTTGGTTAATTGCATGGATACCGGGGAAAAAACAAAACACCAAAAAACACAGAGGCCCTTTCAGAGAACGAGAAGAGCAATAGAGCAAGAAGAAATCCGTTGTGCACACCAATTAACTCTGCAGGCAAGGTGTTTGGACACTCACGGAGGAGAAGAGGAGACACCACACCAGGCACGAAGAAATGGGTAATTACTTCCCCTGCACTGGGGATGAACACGCTAATGAGGAAAAGGACAAAGGGCCTTTTATTTGCTTTTTGGCTTTGTGTTAAGGATGGTGAGTGCTTTCTCCGTGCCTTCTGCTGCTTGCTGAATCAAGCAGGGCTCCGTGTGTCCTGTCTGGAGCTGGTGAAGGATGTGCGATGCCCCACGAGTGGGCAGGGGTGAGGAGCACACCAAGGCGACAGCTCACCTAGCAGGGAGCACCTCACCACAGCCCAATGACCTGCAGGAGAGCAAACCCAGCCGCTTCCTAGTGCATCACCATCCAGTCGGGGCTTCTACCTGATCACTTAAGTGGAAGGGAGAATCAATTAAATAATGATGAGCCTACTCATGTGTGCGTGAGCCGCGGGATGTGGATGCTCTCTGTCTGTTGCTGCAGCTCCAGATGTACGTGCACACATGCCTCCTGTTTGTGTTCAGCTCTTTAATGAGTGTTGCACTCACTCGGTCCGAAGCTAATACAAATAAATGACAAAAAATGAGCATCAATTTGTGAATTGGAATAAGAGGCAATGAGTATAAAATAAAAGCAGTTCTTAGGCAGGAAAACGGAAAATCGTACTTGTGAGGCACTGAGCTTGCATAAATCATTTTGTGACTGAATGAACTGTCATGAAAGCTGACAGAAGCTCAATCCAGAAGCAGTTATCCCATGCTCAGTTATCAATTGCAATGCTAATTTTGAAAGCAAAACCAGCTAATGCTAACTGGGGACCTAGAATTAAACCGTCAAGAGTTAAACCATCAAATGCATTTTCTGGTTGTTTTCAATGGGTATTTGCAGTTTGAAATGGCCAGTTCTGGGCTACAACAGACATAAAACTGCTGTGAGAAAAAAAGAAGAAACCACAAACACCAGCTTTCATCTCAGGTGAGCCCACCTCTGAAAGGAAATGGAAGGCACGCTTTAGGGGAGGTGAGCTCTTATCTTCACCACCAGTGACTGAATTAAACTGGCACACTGGTGTGAACACTGAATCCATGGAGAAGGAGCTGCTGGCAAGAGAAGGGAAGCTGTAGGAAAAGGATGACTTGAGAAGCTTCTTTCCCCTCTTCACTGATGGCCCCACCATCAGGAGCAGACCTGCAGCTGGAGTCCAGGCTGGTCTCGTTTGCGCTTCTCAGGAGGGAGATGACTAACGGGGTCAGGGAAGGTCATCCAAATGCTATTTTTAAATGTTTTGTGGCTTCTGACATTCAGCAAGCTGAGCTGTGTTGGTGTCTCACTGCAGAGACACCAGCTCCCTGTGCTGCCTGCCTCCCGGCTGGAACTGTGAGCAGGATGAGATGCCAAAAGGAGTGCGAGACCACTGATTTATTGATTTCATGACAAAAGGAATCACAGCTCCATCCATTCCCTGCCATTGCCTCCTTTCCTTGGTAGCCTCTGCTGCTCCGTTCCTGCGGGGGCTGCTGCCAACAGCCCTGGGTGCAGCGTGAGCATCTTCTGCTGGTCCGCACCCCACTGCAGAGAAAGCTTCAGGGTGGGCTCTGCCACCCCTCCTGAGCAGCTGGAAGTGCCTGAGCAGCACGACTCGCTCCTTCCCTGCAGCACTGTCACTGCAGACATTTCCCATGCCATGTTTCTCCAGCCCCAGCCACACACTAGACCCCATTGGAAGGTCTCATAGCTCCCCTCTCTGTGATTTCTCCGACTCCAGCAAATGTTTTCTGGGTAATTCATCCCGCGTTACATGTACAAGCCTTCTCTTTATGACTCTGAGGGCTAGATACACTTTGGAAGGGCTGACTCCACTGCAAAAACGTGCCGCCAGGAGGTAAAGCCTGCAGTGCTTACCATCCGCGTCACTGCTACAGGGATGCACAGACTGAAAAAAATAAATAAATAAATAAATGAACAAATTCTTGCCCAAGGACCTGCTGATTTCTGGCAAAAAAAATAAATGGACATGAGTAGAGTGGGAAGGAGCCAGGACACTGTGTGCCTTACATGCCCAGGAGGGCGGCAAGAGGCTGCAAGTGCCAGCAGCCTTCTGGGGTCAGAGCTTTTGTACCCACAACAGGAGGAAGGGGCCCTGAGCACTGAGGGGTTCGAGGTGGCTTTGCCTGGATGCTTTCTTTATAACGAGCTCCTCAGAAAGAGCTTTGAACGTCAAAAGTGAAGTTTTATCCCAAAAGAAACTGGAACACGTTCCTTTTGAAAGCGCAGGAGCCTCAGAAGCAGCTGAGTGTGTCAGAACAGAAATGAAAGGGGATCATAAATAACCTGCCCCTGCCCTGCGCCTCCCCAGCAGCTCCTTTCCTCTCCATCTGCTTTCAGCCCCAGCTCTTCAAAGCCCCCCGAGCCTGGTGGCCCCAGGGGAGGTGTGAGGAGAGGAGCTGCATTTCTCCGGGCCGTGACAAGGACAAAAGCAACAAGCTGGTGTCCCACAGAAGGGGAGCTCTCCAGAAGGGGCTGGGGGGCACTGCTGGAGGTGCCAGCCACTGCGTGATGGACACCCTCCGTGACAGCACACCGGGGAATAACCCAGGGAAAGCAAAAGTCAGCATCACCAACAAGAGATCAAACATTTCAGGACCAAACCTGAGCACAGGCGAGGCACAGAGCAGCAAAACCCGCACGTTTTCGTGACAGCGAGGCACCAGGTTTGGCTCTCCATGTCCCAGGACCTCAGCCCTGGGTCCCAGGTGGAAACAAACAGGCTTTGTGGCCTGGCCGTGCCGCACCCATGGCCTGGGCTTTCATCACTTGTTTCGAATGAGCACATGGAAAAAAAATTCTCTCCCTGGCCTCGGTCCTCACATGTGCCAGGGAGCTGTGTGAGTGCTGGTGTGTTCCCCAAGAGCAGCAAGACGTGAATGTGCCACACTGCCAGCTCGTCTCAATTCACCAGTGCTCCTTTTTCCTGGGCTTGTGAGCCTCAAGTCTCTCCTATCTCAAGTCAAAAAACATTGGGCAGAGAATGGCAACCCTCTTGCACGAAGGATCGTCGGTGTTTCTGCTCTGATCTGGAAGAGAGAAAAAGCACCCTGAAGCAGGAGGTACTAGAGGCTGTCACAGAGCCTTGGGTCTGAGGGGATATCCAGGGACTCCTCGCATCTCTTCAGTCTGGGGAGCAGGGAGGTGCTCCTGGAAGATGGTTTCCTCCAGTCTGGAGGTGAAGCTGCTTCCAGGAACATTTCCATTGCAGTTTGCTGTCTGGGAAGCTGAGCCCTGCCTTGTGGGAATTTTTCTGATGGAAATTTTTCTCTTGCAAAGTCCTGTTGTGAAGGTCTCTAGCCCCAGAGCTGATAACAGGCTTCACCTAATGCCTGTTAGGTCACTGATACACATCTTGCGTTGGATCTTTGGGCTGGATCATTGGGCTGCTGGCTTCTCCAGCAGCTTCCCATCACCTGAGACATGAATTAATGCTTCTCAAAGAGGTCACCTCTCTTTGGCAAAACGTGAAGGACTGAGGCCAGGGTTCCCCCAGCTTGGTGCTGCCCACAGCCTTCTTTGCGTCTCCGCTTCTGAATCCACATGGTCATAGGTAGGTGCCTGTGCATCCTGCGAGCAGGAGAGGAGCCAGGCAGGAGGGAGCAGGGTTTGGGTGAGTGCTGCAGCAGGAATTAAGGCAGGCAGGCTCGAGCGAGCCAAGGGGAACTAAAGTGCAAAACAAGCAAGAGCGCTTGGCCGTCAGCTGCAGGCGATGAGAAATATTTTCCTTTTCCTCTTTGGGCCAAATCTCCAGCAGTGATGCTCAGCAATTCTAGAGCAATTGCACAGTGACACCCAGAGGACAGGCCCCAAAAGCTGTAACCACCTCACCCAGTGCAGCTGCCCAGCCAAAAGTGATGGGACCCGGCGGGGCTGTGCAGAGCCACCGAGGAATGAAATCCATGGAAAATGCTCCTCTGCCGCAGCCTGCCTTGGTGCTGGACACATCTCACACCAGGAGGATAAATAATTCATTTCCGTTCTAGAAATGTGTATTTCAATATCGAAAAGTAACACTATTTATTGCCGGGAGAGGCAGTCCCCCCCCTGGGCCCTATAAATATTTATGCAAACCGAGGAAGAAAATATGCTGGTAATTTAATATGTCTTTAAAATAAATGTTGCATATAAAGTAGCCCGTATCTAATTAAACATATTGCTGCATTGTATATGGCTGCTGCTCAGCCATTTATAGTTGCACCAATACATTAAAAGTTTAGATTAGAAGAGGGCTAAAGCCGCTGAATATAAATACAAAGCCAAACTTCAGCAGAGAGGGACCTTGCTCTAAACCCCGCACTGAGGATAAAATGATGTTTTCCCATCGCTGTCTGAGTCCATCTAGGGAAGATGGGGCAAAGAGGTGATGGAGACGGATCCCGCTTGGTTTGGGAAGATCACAGCTTCGTGTTGACCGTTCAAAGCAGGGTCTCGAGGCGCAGGGCTTGCTGTCCCCTGATGGACGTGTCCTCAGCTCCATCCTCCAGGTACCGTCCAGGACAGTGACACCTGGCGGTGCGTCTTTTCCCGCTGTCCATGGAGCTATTTTCATGCAGTATTTTCCTTATTTGCTCACAAATTCAAAGGACGGCGAGGGGAACGAAAGCATCCTCATTCATGCACCAGCACCACAGGGGAGAAACCCACATCGCTGCTGGTGCCTTGAGTCCTTCTAGGATGGGAAGTTCAGCAAAGCTCAGTTTTGAAAATTAGGAGCTGACCATGCTTAAACCTCTGAAAATCAGGGAAATACTAAGAAAATGTTTATCTGAAGGCAACTTCACTGCCCTCTGCCTGAAAGAGGCAAGTTGTGCATGCAAACACTGCATTAGGAACATGCCGAAGTAAAGCAGAGCTTGGACAAGCTATGAGAAATTGGTCACACGTAGAAATTTGAGGCATCCTGCTCTGCTCTGCTGCTCCCCGTGCCATGGTGTGTGCTGGACCCTCGGGTGGTCTGGGCACACGGGATCACGGCTCGCAGCAGCTGGGGTTTGTGGCTGTAGGTGTCTCAAGCTGTGTTTTTGTGTTTAATGTTGAGCACTGCACAGCCTGAACTCTGCCCGCTGGGACTCCAGCTGGCCCAGGAGCTGAAGGAAAGCCGCCTGCAGGTTGCTGGCCACAATTCAGCAGCTTTGGATCAAAGTCAAAGCCCCCTCTGAGGGAAAGGATGAAATGTAAGGTATGTATTAATGAATACCAAATCGGTTATTCCAGCCAGGTGAGGTGTACCCATGAAGAAGCTCATTTTCAAGCCCATCCAGAACTGCTGAATAATCAACAAACTCAATTAACAGATTATCAAACACCCATCTTCCTGAAGGAGGCACTGGTTGAGCTGCCACCGGCAGTCCTGACCTGTTGCTGGCCTTCTGCAGCGGCACCAAGTAACTCATCAGTAACAGAGAGGTTTGGCACCTCGGTTTCTCACCCATGCACTCCTCCCAGGGGAAAAAAAAATGACAGTGAGAATGATCAATCACTGGCACAGCCTCCCCAGGAGTGTGCTGGAGCCCCCATCGCTGGAGACTTTCAAGATGCAACCGTTCAGGGTGCCTCCTGTCGAGGCTCCCTTTCCCCACAACAGGTTGGACCTTACGACCTCGTGAGGTCTCTTCCATCCCGGGCTGTTCTGTGATTCTGTGTGTCTGTGACCGTAGGGATGATCTGTGCATCGTCCCACGTTTCTTCCGCAGAGTTCCCCACCCCGCCACTCGCTGCAGCACAGCTCCGCGCCTCTCTGGGAAAGCTCAGCTGCTGCCGAAACTCTGACGCAGATGAAAGAAGCACAAAAGCTCCGAGCAGAGCAGATTGAATGCCTCCCGTCGCAGGGCTCCCACGTCTCCTTGGCCTCTCGTGTCTTGCTCAGACGTTTCCCATGGGAAGCCTTGCTGGCGTGGAGTCAAACGCCGGGTGCCCCGATGCAAGAGCTCTCCACTCTGCCTTGTTTTCTGCATGATCCCACTTCTTCTTCAGCAAACGCAAGCCAACAACAGCTCTCATTGATTTGGCTCTAGCTCGTGGCCCAGGTCCCAGAGTTTTCTGCTCATGAGTAAAACAGCTAAAGCACAAGCAGCCGTATGTGACCTTAGCAGCACATGTTAGCGACAGAACAGCTTGTCTGACGTGCTGCTAGGGAAAAGGTTTGGAAACTAGAAGGATGGTTAAGGGGCCTGGGAGGCAGGAGCAGGAAGAGGGCTTTCACCTCTGAGATGGATCCGAAGTGCAGGGGGTGTGCTTTGGGTAGGGCTCAGCACCGGGCTTGGGGGGCAGCTGGCCCTGCGTCTCCACTGTGTTGGGTCCCTGCCCTCCCAGTTTGGCACTTATTTGGGGAACAGGGCACCGAGTGCGTGCGCAGACACCGACCTCCACCCTCGCCTCTCCACACGCTCCAGGAGAGGAGCCAGACAGCAAAGGCAGGAGGAGAGCGTGCTCCCCGAGCACCCAGCAGCACATTGTGATGTGGGTAAGTTCTCACCAACATTTATTTAACTAGCTGAGAGACACTTAGCAAATGACACGGGCAGTAATGACAACGTTCTCCGCGCGTTTAAGATGTGCAGGGAACGCAGCCACGGCTGGCAGGACCAGGACAGCAAATTAGGAAGCGGGAGACATTTATTATCGTAATGGGAAGTGACAGTGATGGATCACCTGGCGTGACACTCCTCTCGCCACCGCATGCTAATGGCAGGGACGGAGCTGCTGAGGCAGCCTGCGGTGTGACGAGCCCTGCCAAACCCTGGGGGAGATGGGGAGGGCTCCTCCAGGAGGAACGCAGCCCTGTGACAAACGGGCACCCTCATCCCTTCACAGCCCAGTGTTTGTGCACTAAAATCTCAGGGCATTTGGAGCAGGAGCTTTCGCACACGCTCTTAGCAAAGCCTGCTCCAGGAAAGTGCCAGCAGTGCTAGGGCAAACAAGAGCAGAAGTTGGAAGGGGGACGTGGGGCTAAGCTGCAGAAGCAGGCTGCAGGTGGGCGCTGGCTGCTCAGGGAAAAGCTGAGTGCTGGGAACAGGGTGAAGGTCGGTGCCAGCAGCTGTTCCATGGTTTGCCTTCAGCTCGCTTAGGCGGTTAGGAAAACAGAAGCAAAGTTATTTTAAAGCGTGGGTTGGCTTTTGAGTCAGAGCTCAGGAAAAGATTAAAAAAAAAAAAAAAGAGGAAAAGAAAAAAAGGTTGAGAGTAAATGATCATGATATTTATTAGGTTTGTGGCTGGGCGAGCGTTGAGGTTGAGACTGTGGGATTGTGATATTCAGAAGTGCTCCTGTGTCACCCATGGAGAAACATCCCAAATGTCACAGGCAGTACCACTCCAGAAGAGGCAAAGGCACCAGAGAAGCACCAAAGGCAGAACACACCCCATGATGTGACCCCTTCCCAGCTGTCTTCTTCTTTAACAGCACCTGGTGTAGATGCTAAAGCCTCCACCAGGTGCTAGTTATAATTTAATCAAATTCTCTCTCTAAATACTGCTGTGACAGCCCTTGTTTTGGTCTTTGGGTTGTGGGAGCCCTGAGCTGGGCTCACCAATGTGCTGTCCCTGATCCCAGGAATAGATCTGCCCAGGTTCTCCCAGCCCTTGAGGCTGTGTGTCCCCTCCAGTGCTGCTGCCATGCCATCTTCTAAACTGGTAGAGATCTTCAAAATCTGTTGGCACAAGTAAATCTCCTTTCAATTGTGCCAGTACGTTATCTTGAGGATGAAATAGAGCAAACTGAGAACATTGCAGCTGAAAATGCCACGACTGCCAGCGCGCCTGGAGCCTCCTGTTCCAGCCAAGGAAAAGGGTAAGTGATTCCGAGCGTGCAGCAAGATGCATCCACGCTGGCTCTGCCCAAGTGACCCACGTGCTGGGACTCATTTAAAAATCCCAGGTATTCACGCAGCTTCAAAGTATCGTTTCTGAACAGATGCAAATACCTGCGGTGCGTCTATTAGAAGAGCCGTGCTCCTTTGCCCTGCAGATTGAATTTTGCCTGTGGGTTTCGTCAGATAATTATTATTTTGTGCTAGTTTATTTAAGCACTTACTCATCATTGCCAGCACACTAAATAATGAGCTCTGTGTCCCCGAAGATTAAACAGCAGCATTCTGCAAAATAGAGGGAAAGAAATATAGTCGAGCTCTGCAAAGTTTTTAATTAACAGCTTGATACTAAGAAAGATTGCGCGAGTGGTGGGACGTTGCCCAGGCACAACTGCGTTTTGCACGGGATGAGTTTCACTCTTATGGGCAGCCTTCTGCCCCCTTGTTAAGACAGGTGAGAGAAATTCCCCGTATCCCTGCTGGAGCCACACAAATTTTCCCTTCCTGCTGGGAACGGGACAAGAGGACCCCTAGGAAATGGCTCCTCTGTGGGACCTGGGGCCAGGAGCCAGCCCAGCAGCTCCAGTGTGGGCTCTGTGTGCTGATGGGGATGTGATGGTGTCCTCCCAGGCTTTGGAAATATGAAAGGATCGACACAGATGGAAGAAAGGGCAAATATGGGTCCCTAGAGGGCTGCACCAGGAGGAAGCCTGGCCAAAGTGCAGAAGGGAATGCGCATAAGTTCACCCAAGGTGGGGTGTGTGGGCGCGAGGCACAGGGCTCAACGCACCGGCTGTCGGGAGCTGAACAATTACAGCGATTCTTGTTAGCATATTACCACCCCCGTTGATCATGAAAACCACTTGAGAGCCCCACACTGACCCCATGAGGTGTGATAATATGACAAAAGGAGGGGGGGAGACTTTTTGCTGATCTGCTTCCACTGTCACGCAGCCCCTGCTCCGCCTGGCAGCGAGTCGGGTACCTGGAGCTGAGCCGCCTCCAGGGGCCTGAGGGAGCGCAGGCCAGTAAGCTTTGCATTTGTTCCTGGAAAATGTTTTTAAGCTGTGATTAAAAATAGACCAACAGAGCACAGATGGGATGACACGGACTCCAGGAAGGGAAATTCGTCAGTCTCTCCAAAACGTCCCCGGTGGTGTTCCGACTTCTAACGGGAGGTACGGCTCGTTCGGACCAGCCGGGATACCTGCGAGGTGCAGCACAAGCGGGCAGGAGAAAAATGACATTACAGGGAAAAAAATAAAAATAAAGTCAGAGACAGAAAACCAAGGGGACTTAATTTCCAATTTTTCATGAGCGGGTCTCATCGCTGCATATGTTAATGTTTTCAACAGCGATCTGGAAAGAAGGAGCTGGAAAACAGAGCCCAGTTTGTCGATGACACGCGGGGGAGTTAATTGAATCCAGAAAAGCCTGTAAGCATCTCAGAGAAACCTAATCAAGCCAGGGAACTGGGTGAAGCCTCTGTAGCTGCGTAGCTACTTCCACAAACAAATACTGTAGCACACCAGAGAGCAAAGTTTCGGCTAGTGCAAAGCCCGGCTTCACAGCACCAGACAGTCTCTGGGATAACTTAAAAAGAGCTACTACAAGGATTAGGACCGAGTATCCTGTGCGTGGGCTACTCTGCATCCTAATGTGTTAGGGAATGGCATCAAGTGGTTGTAGAAGACGTGCTCGGAGGCACTGCTCTGCCAATTAGCGAGCAGGAGCAGAGAGGCAAAGCTTGGCAGAGAGCACCCTCCAGTGGGCACTGGGAGCCCACTGGGAGCCCCGCAGGGTGCCGAGAGCTGCTGGGATCCCCTGCTCGTGTGGCCAGGCTCTGGGTGAGAAGGCACGAGGCTGCTGGAACCTCGCTGCGTGCGCTCCTCATGGTTCCCATCCAGGCGAGGGCAGGGCCGGGCTCCCCAAATTGTCCAGCTGGCCGCCAGCTGCAGAGCCTGCTGCAATAAAAAACGGGGCTGGGCGGTCGTGCAGCCACTCGCAAGAGCGGGAGCAGAGGAAACCCCAACCCCGCGGGGGCTGGCAGCATCCCCGTGGCATCACATCCACGGGGCGAGGGTGGGCTTTCCCGCGGGGCGAGCCGTCTGGGGCAGGGAGCGCATCCCCGGCAGCATCTGGTTGCAATCAGTGTTTGCAGAGCTGGCTAGGCTCCTTCCCGGCCAGTAGCCAAGTGAGATGTTTCCCACAGGAGGCCGAGCCCGTTGCTCCTTGTGCCGGCGTTCTGCACGTCCGCTGCAGCCGGCTGTGGCCCCAGCAGCTCCCACGCAGAGGGGTCCGTGCCCCACGGACCCCCAGCCGCTGCCCCGGGGTTCAGCAGCAGCGAGCGGCTGGGCTCTGGGGTTTGCAGAATTTAGGCTGTGAAAAACAGAGCAAATAACCCAGCACGGCTAAGAGCCCCCAGGGACCGGCTCAAGCACCGTGAGCCACCGCACGACTCGCCCCATGCTGCGTCCCCGTGGGATTTGTCCTGTGGGGGTTGTCCAGCAGCTCCAAAACGTGCCTGTGGCTGCTCCTGCCCCGGCCAGCCCCGCTCTGTGCGTCACCATCAGCCTAATAACGTGGTGACCCCGTTATTCAGCTCACTTCATTCCTGCTTTTAGTTTAGTCCTTTTAGTTTTCTCACTAAAAATTAATGGAAGACTTGAGGAAAAGATGCACAATTAAAAAAAAACAAATGTTTAAATGGCTAAGCAGCCAGATTTTGTTATTTTGTGAAGGGGCTTGCAGAGTGGGATGTTTTTATGAATCCCCCCGGCTCCTGGCGTCCCTTGACTACCCACGGATCGCTGCTTGTGCTCAGTGCCCCCTGCTCTGTGCCCACTTACCGGTGCAGACAGTAGCTGTCAGAATGGAGAGCAGCTTAAACCAGGCTACTCCAAGGCAATCTGGAAGCAAGCAGCTCTCTGCTGGAAAAGCCACAAAAATAGGCACAATGTCCGTGTGTATTCTTCCTTTTCTGGCAGTACGAGAGGTCAGCACCAGGGCCAGGCTGGGCTGGGGAAGGCTTGGAGCCGAGCAGAGCTCGGCACAGTCTGTTCCTCCCTGCTCGACCTGTGCGAGGGATCCTGATGGGCTCCAGATGCTCTCCTTGCCCAGAAGATGATTCACGGTCAGGGACTGACCGGGCTGAGAGGATCAGACTGACATCACCCTCATCCAGGATGTGACCCCGTGCCTCAGTTTCCCCACTTGCAAACAGGCAGGGACCAGCGCAGTGCTGGCAGAGAGGCACCACAACGAAACCTTCCTGCTGTGCACAAATCTATCTGGGGGAAAGAGGTGAAAACCCACAACTGCAGCGTGGAATTTGCCCTCTGCAGCTTACAGGAGAGCTCGGGGGCACCCAACGGAGCTGAACAAGGAGCAAAAGAAGGGAAGCAGCGTGCCCCATAGGACTGGGCTTGGGTGCAGGAACACAAACCCAAGCAGAGCCCAGGCAAAGGCACGGAGGAGCCCAGCGAGGGTCATCGTGCAGACAGGATCAGCATCCGGCTCAGGAAATTCCCAGTGCCGAAAATAGTTGGATGCTGGAAGGGCACGCGGGGGACGCGGTGCTTTATGCTTGCTGCAATTTTTTTTTCTTCCCCAGGCGATGGGGGCTGCCAGGAGGGTGCTGGGTGCACCCAGCAGGGTCTGGGGTGCTCTCCACTTTTAGGGGCCACCCACCCTTGCACTGTGCTTCTCAAGGAGAACACGCTGCCAGTGCACTTTTTTTTCCTACAGAAGAGGAAAAAACATCGGCGTGAAGCAAAAAGCAGCTAAAAACATGGTAAAATCAACCTTTTTAGGAAAGGGCAAGAGGCTCCTCAAGTGCTGGCAGGGGTCCTGCCCTCCTTGCTGCCCTCGCCAAGCTGTGTGGGGGGGAGGCAGCCCCCCGGCTGTGCTCGGCACCAGGCAGGGTGCCCCAGGGGCACCCCGTGCTCAAGGCCTGCAGCGAGCTGGGAGAGCATCAGCCAGCCCAGCTCTGCTGCATCCCAGAGCGACCCCAGAGGGCCAGCAGGTTGTGGACGGTTTAAACCAGGGGAATTTTTGCTACGGGGCCAGCACAAATATTTGCTTTAGTGTGCGCTGGGGAGGGGGGGGACACGAGCAGAGGAGAGCAGCTGCCGGTGGCCAAGAACATCCACGGGGAAAGCAATGCCAGAAAAATGCAAGATTAACGTGCTTCCCCTGCTGCTTCCCTCGGGGTCCCGCTCTCCTCCCGGAGCCCCCGCACCCAAAATCCCCCAGCAGCCTGGCCAGGCACCCGCGGGAGGGCTGGCAGCCCCCCGGCGCACCGGCCGGGGCAGGAAAAACCGACGGGGGTCGGGGGAGAGCCGGCACGGAGGGGGGGTCCCGAGCATCCCCGATGGCGGCCGCCCCTCCCTCTTCTTCCTCCTCCTCCTCCTCCTCCCACCGGCCGGCCCAGAGCCCTCGCAGCCTCGGGGCCGGCTGGGGAAGCGGGGCTGAAGGGCCGGGGGGCGCGGTGCCGTGCCAAACCGTGCCAAACCGTGCCGGTCCGGTCCGTGCCATGCCGTTCTACAAGCGGAGCGTGGTGGCTCGGCGGGGCCGGGCGATGCCGCTGGCCGAGCTGCGGGACGTTTGCAGCCTGGCGGCTCTCACCCTGCTCCGCCAGCTCGCCGACCTGTGCGGCCACTCGCTCGCTTTGCTCGGGGACATCGAGGGCCACGTCGCGGCTCTGGGGCGCCGCACCGGGCGGCTGCACCGCCGCGCATCCCGCCTGCAAGCGCTGCTGCGGGGCCGCCCGCTGCGAGGGGCAGACCCAGGTAAGCCCCCCCCCCGAGCCTTCCCCGGGACCCTCTCCCCATCGTTTGCCAGGCGGGGGCTGCCTCCGTCCAGCCCATCCTCGCCTCCCCTGGCTCCGGGGACCGGCGACCGTCCCCAAACCGCTGCGCTCTCGGCCTCCGTGGAGGCGCGCCTGGGTGCGGAGCGGCTTCCCCCGAGGGTTTTGGGGTGGCCGGAGCCCCGTGGCAGCCCGCAGCCCGCAGTCCTGCCCGCGCCCCGCTCCCCCTGGCAGCCAGCGGGGTTTGGGTTGTGCCCCAACTGCTTCTCGTTTCCCTTTCCGAGCCTTTGGGTTTGGCACCAGGCTTTACGCGCTGGGTCACAAGCGGGCAGTGCGTTTCGGAGGAGCTTAAAATAAGCTCGTTTTGGCTTGGGTTAGAAAAGTTTATTTTCAAACGCTTTGCGGGGGGGTTTGGAGGGGGGTTGTTGTTGGAGCATGCTTTCCGCAGAAGCGCAGCGCGTTTCTCAGGCCCTTGACGAAGTGTGTGTGTGTCCCTTGTGCTTTCTGCAACCCCCCTCGTGGGTGCCGTTTGCTGCTCCGTCTGCGTGGAGCCATGGGGAATGACTGCCAGACCCTCGCCGCGTGCTTCCCGGATGCAAGCCGAGCTCTCAGCCTTGGCCAGGGAGATGCACTGCTCCTGCAAATGCTGGTGCAGCAGAGAAGTTATCAGGGGAAGGAAGAGGCTCCCGCTGTCCCCTGCCTCGGCTGGTGCAGGAATCTGGGGAGGAGGCACCGCAGTCACCCAAGCTGACACCTGCAGTAGGGCAGAGCTGGTGTTGTCACCGTACGTGCTGGACCGCTGTCCCCTGGAGGAGGAGCTGGCCCTGACGGTGGCCAGATGGTCCCCTCCTGGTCGGTGGGCTGGGAACGCTTTTGGCCGCAGGAGCTTTGTGCCACTGGGCTGGACATTGCGGCCACGGTGGCCTCAGGATTGGGGCAGGGGCCAGCAGGGATGGGGCAGTCCTCTCCTGCCTTGTCTCCTCGTTGGAGGGTGGGAGTGGGTCCCCCTTTTTCCATTTCTTGAAGAGCATCCAAAGGGAAAAATCACCTTTCTCTTCTCAAAGCGGAACAAAACCAAAATGTCTGGTCCCTGGGGACACGGCGGTGAATCAGCAGCACCAAACCTGCCCTGGAGCAGCCTTCCTGCAGTCCAGCACTGAAGGCTCGTACCTCAGGACCGAGACCCCGGCAGGGCTGCAGCACCTGCTAGCTGTCCCTTCGGCTGGGCTGGGTTCGTCACGTCCTCTGGCTCGGAGCTGACACCACATGCTGGTGATTACAGACTTCTCTGGGCTTTTGCAGTGAGTGGTGGTGCTCCACGTGTTGCCAAACTCCAGCGAGGAAACCGCAGCTGTGCCGTGCCAGGGGAGAGGGCCAGGCTGTGGCTCTGCCCTCCCCAAGGATGCTCATCCTGGATTTTTTCAGGATCCTCTCCCCGGCTTTGGTTCCTCCCAGGCAGGTTGAAGTGTGCCGAAAAAGCAGCTCGGGTGCCCGCTGTGCCCGTGCAGTTTGTCCATCTGCAGAGCCAGCAGGAGCCGCCTTGCCTTCCTCCTCCTCGGGAGAGGCAGGCGCTGGGGCAGTCGCATCGCTGCCGGATGAAGGAATCGCTCCGCAGAGGGCCAGGGGAGTGCTTAATCTGCCGAGGCAGCGCGGTTGTTTCCACTGCAAGGCAGCAGCCAAAGGCTGCTGGATTCCTCTGCCCTTATTCATCGGCCACCACGTGAGAGCTTGGAGAGCTTGCGCCCGTCCCAGCGCTGCCCCTCGCAGCCCCCTGGGTGCCAGCTGGGGGGCACGGGCTCGTGCTCCCCGCTCAGCCCTCACCCCTGGGGACCCAGCCACTCCCAGAATAACTCTTGGTGACAAAGAGGATGGGGCCGGGTGCCGAGAGCTATTTAAACCGTCGTTCCCTGAGGAGCTGCGGGGACGATTCTCTGGAAGGAACCCTGGGCTGTGCTGGCAGGAGGAGCTGTTTACTGCTCCTGCCTGAATGCATGGTGCTTGCCGTCCTCTGAGCTCACATCTCGATGCAAGTGGAGGAGATGGGCAGAGCCACCACCCGCGGGGAAGCACCGGGGGTGGCGCAGGGCTCCCGGCACGCAGCTGCATGGGGCAGGGGCAGGAGATGCCATGACCCCATGGGATAAGCAGTACCGGCTGTGGCAAGCATGAGGTGAAGGTCTGGAGAAGTCCTCGCCCTGGGAACTGGAGCTGCTCATCCTGGCCTCAGCCTCCTCCGGTGTGGCTCCAAGAAGCCTCCAAGAAGCTTCCTCCGCCTGCTTGTTTCCGAAGCCAGCGGTGATTTCAGCGCCAGAGGGGAGAGCGCAGCTCCCCCCAAACGTGGCCTTGGCGCGAGTGGGAGGAAGGAGGCTGAGCAAAGCTGGGCTGGGTTCGGCTGCCAGAGGAGCGGAGCGGGGAGCCGCACCCTGCCTCCTAACGGGAACCGTCTGCGGGGAGCAGCAGGGAGAGAGGGGATAGAGGAATAACGCTCGTCTCGCATCCAGACCCTGCTCTCCGAAAATGTCAGCGGTGCAGTGGTCAGGAGCAGGCACCGCTGCTGAAGTTTCCCCAGGGAAGGAGAGGAGGAGGTGCTGGGGATGAGCTGGAGCTGGCACCGAGGGTGTCCTCTCCAGGCTGTCGCCGTGACCTCGCTCCCTCCCCGCCAGCTTGCAATGAGGCTGCAACTGGGGACCCAAATCATCCGCTGGCGGCGCGTGGGGGCATGGGGTGGTGCTGCCATCCACTTGCAACGCGGCACAGCCGTGGTGCTCGTGCTCGCTGCTGCCCCAGGTCGCAAGTAGAGGCTCCTCAAGCCTCCGTAGTATTTCTATATCAGGGTGGTTGCTGGTAGGAAGCGCTTACAACATCGCGCTGGCTGTGACTGTGGCAGCGGTTACGTTGCTCAGGAACATGGATTGGTTTCAACTATGTCTCCAAAGAGGCTTGCATCATCTTAAGCAGCCTGAAGGATGCATTCACTTTCATGTGCAGAGAAGAGCTGGAGCTCACTTTGGCAACCCGCTCTCCAGCTGCAGAGCTCTCCGGCACGCTCAGGGAAGTGAAAGCGCTCGCACAGCACCGTCGCCAGGCGCTGGAGCGCAGGGTGGTGCCGCACTGCTGGGCTGGAGCAGCTCATCCCTCCAGCTCCTGCTGTGGCGGGGCGTTTGCAGGTGCCAGACGCTGTGCAGGAATGAAGGGCCGCCTCCACGCCGTGCGTGCAGCAGCTACCGAGCACAGCAGAGGTCGTCTCGAGGCCGTAATCGCTGAAAGGCAGGAGCTGCTCACCCAAGGACCGAGCTCCCTGCTGCTGACCAGTGTTGGGACGCACCTGGCACAGCCCCTACACCCATTCCTGGGGACAGCTGGGCGCCAGCTGGCTCTGTGCCACCTGCCCGTGCCCTCAGCAGCCTCATGGGGATGGCCACATCCCATCCCCAAACCCCGTGGCACCCCTGCAGCCAGCAGCTGCAGCGGGTCTACTTCTTGCTGCATGCATCACACGTGCGGTCAGCTCAGCTGGGCACATCAGCTCGGACGTGAAACCCTCCTTCCCTGGGCCCCAGGGCACCTGTGGGCACCCCAGCTGTGTGCATGAGAGTGGCTTGTGGTTTCCTGCTCCTTGGGTGCTCGTCTGGAGGCTCCTGCGCAGAGGGGCTTGGCTGGAAGAGGTCAGCCAAAAGGTCGTGGGGGGATTTGTGCTGCTGGAAATCGCTCGGCGACTCCAGGTTTCTGCTTAGGCGTGGGACAGGCAAAGTGATGGCAGCAGGAGGTGAGGTCAGGGTGGCAGGATCATCTCCTGCCTGTGCAGGACCCGCTGTGGCTTCTTGGGAAGGAGAGCTGGCACCATTGCACCAGGGATGTGCCCCAAAGCGTGGGGCCAAAGGGCAGGGCGAGGGATGTCACCAAGCAAGTGGCAGAGCCCAGGGGAGCTGCAGGATGGAGCCTGGAGCAAATCCCCCCCAGCTGGCTGCCCAAACCCCGTTAATTAAGGGAGAGGGGAGGCTGGCTCTGCTCGTGGCAGCTCCACACGCTGGCAGGGCAGTGGTGGGGTGGCATGGGGCACCTCGTCTCCTGCAGCCCCTCCAAGCTGGTGGCCCCCATCCCCTGCTCCCCCGGCCAGCTCCATCCCCGCGCCGTCTCCATGGCTCCGCCGTGGCATGCGTCTGCGGCGGGGAAGTGCAGCTATGTCTTTAAGAAGGGCCTGGGCTGGGGTGGGAAAAGCATTTCCATGCAGCCTTTCTCCCAGCAAACCTGGAGCGAGTTAGCGGCCGAGTTGGAGCGGCGGCCGGCAGCCAACTCGCCCCACGCAGCCACCCCGCTGGGTGCCAGGGTGCCATGGGGGCACAGGGCAGCCAGCGGGGCACGGAGCAGCCCGTGGCCCCCATCCCTGTGCGGAGAGAAAGAGGAGGAGGCCGAGCTGGGTATGTAGAAGTTTTATCCTCCTCCTCCACCCCGATCGCTGTCCTGCTTCAGGGAGGGGGCTGGCGGCTCCGCGGGACGAGGGCAGGGAGCGCAGCGGGTGCATGGCGTGGGGCCGTTAGGGATGCAGAGCCCTCTGTGCCCTGGGCTGTGCCCCACAGCCGTGCCCAGACCTGGGGCTGGGCGCCGCCGCCTCCTCCTCCTCCTCCTCCTTCTCTTCCTCCTTTTTCTCTTCCCCTTCCCCCTTGCCGCTGGCACCGGCTGGGGCGGGAGCATCCCCAGGGACCCCACTGGGACGGGAGGTGCCCGGAGTGCCCCCGCCTTGCTGCCACATTCCCAGGCACAGGCTGGGTGCTCCAAGTGGGTTCCCCCAAGCTGGGCATGATGCGGTGGCTGCAGGGTTGGTGCAGCCATGTAGGGGACAGCGTGCCAGCACCACGCCCCGTGCCCCAGCAGGGTGACTGGCACCACGTCCCCCGCAGTGGGCTCACACGTCATGGTGAGGATATTACAGCATGTGGCACGCGTCTGGGTCCGTGCTGGTGGTCCTGCGCACTGGTTTTGGGT